TCGCCCGGCCAGCAGACCCGGCAGACCCAGCCGGGTCAAACCAGTTGACCACGGGTTCGGGACCAGATCGGATTTCAGACGAGCCGTTTCAGGGCCATAAATTTCATGACTCTCGGCCGGGTCGGGTCAATGGCCCGCTTTTTTATTATTTATTATTTTTTCTATTGTTTTTCTAAACGACGGACTTGGCCCGGACACGGACTCGGCCCAGGACCGGTCAACCGGTCCATTGACCCGATACAAGTATAGGTCCGTGTCGGGTCCAGGTCCGGATCAGTATTTTGGAGCCCAGCAGCATGGCGGGCCGGGCCGTGACCCTGCCGGAGTTTGGCCATGTCTACATTCTCTAATCATAATTATCTGTCCGTATTTTTAGAGAACTCACCGTCTTATCTTTTTCTTCATTTTACATGTTTCCAACGAGAACACTATTTGTCAACTATAACATAGCTACATTTTTCAGATAGCAATATAGAAAAAAAAAAAAAAAATAAATAAAAATTATTTAATCCATTTTAAAAAGTAAAACACTCAATAGTAAAAGAGTACATTTCTTTCTGAAATTCCTGCTGACGCATTCATGTGTCAGAGTTATCTCGTCTAACCGACCCAGACTCGTTAAAAGTGCATATTTTTTTTCAAAATTGTAGATGTCAGGATTGTCTCGTCTAACCAATTCCGAATCTTTAAAAGTGCACATTTTTATCCAAAGTTGTGACCGACATGTGCCAGAATGATCTCGGCTAATCAAGCATAAAGTAAAATTGAATCCCTTCTGTTTTTTATTTAATCTCACATTACTCAAATTTGTGAATAGAACACATTTCTATTCAAAATTGTGATTGGCGCGTGCCAGAATTATCTCGTCTAACCAACTCCAACTCGTCAAAAGTGCACATTTCTATCCAAAATTGTGATTGACGCACGCGTGTCGGAATTATCTCTTCTAATCAACTCCGAATCGTTAAAAGTGCAAATTTCTATCCAAAATTGTGATTGACGCGTGCTAAAATTTTCTCGTCTAACCAACTATGACTCGTTAAAAGTAAACATTTCTATCCAAAATTGTGATTGGCGCTTGCCAGAATTATCTCGTCTAACCAACTCTAAATCATTAAACATGCACATTTCTTCTATCCAAAATTGTGATTGGCGCTTGCCAGAATTATCTCGTCTAACCAACTCTAAATCATTAAACATGCACATTTCTTCTATCCAAAATTGTGACCGACGACTAAAAATTGAATTGACTAACAACCTTCGACTTATTAAGCTAATGTACATTATTTAATTTGTCAACATTATATATATTTTTTTATAACAGTCAACTATTGGCCTAAGTTTGTTCTATCTATTAACTATCTATATATAGGATATAGTTAATTACAACGCCTATATTCAACTTGTAGAATGTGATAGAATCTAGGGTGTATTCAATTTCCACTTTAGTGACTTTTTAAGAATTTTAGAATTCTAATGTATTCAATTAGAATTTTTAAAAACTTCTGAAAAGTTTACATGTATTCAATTGATACTTTTAATGACTTTTAATAAGTCTCTAAAAGTCACAGGGTATTCAATTAAAACATTCCAAGAGTCTTTATAAGTCACTCGGTATTCAAAACATAAAGACTTTGTGAGACTTTTAGAGACTTTTGTAACAAAATTACAAAGGAAAAGCCTCAACAGAAATCTCATCAATATTGGTGAGATTTTGCTGGACTTATGCGACTCTTTTCACGCTCTCTCTTTTTTTTTTCTTTCTAACACGACTTTGTATCTCATATTATTTTCATGCTCTATTATTTTACTTATTTATTTTGATACCTTGTGTAATTTTTATTTTCATTACGTATATTAATGTG